TTCACTGCTGTTGCCTTGCCTTTGATAAAGGCTGACTAATAGGTTATCATATCACTTACCACTTTCATAAAGAGGAAGTACATGTTTTGCTGATTGTTACAAGAGAAACGGGTTACCCTGATCCCCACTGAATGTTCCCGTGTTGCTGCTTCATTTCCAAAGATACTCTTCGCATGAGGCGGCCAATCTCATTAAGGCATTCGTTGAGCTCGCATCTACTTTCGCCATCCCATGTTCTTCGCGGTACAGTGTGTAACGTCCTCGACTCATGTGAGCGCTAATCACCTGAAAACACACCTGGCGAATGGACCAGAGGAATCTGCAAGTGACAACTGCATCAGCGCTTCGTCGAAGGTGCTACAGTTGTTGTGAAAGAACATTCGCGCGTTTCGGATTTCTGGACACACGTACCTGTATGAAAATCAGATGAGGCTTTCTCAAGGCGAAAGCCGAATTTCTTTCAAAACTCACGCAACCTACTGTTCTCTGAAAGTACGCGAGAGATTTCTTGTTGTTAACTTCTGGACACGAAGCTAAGCTTCAGCACCGATCTAGCCGTGTCTACTTCAAATGTGACTCATGCAGAACGGGTATGGAAATCCACAACCTCATATTCATAACACACCCGGGATCTAGACGTCCACGCAAAATGAAACGTGAATGAAACCGTTGTTGGCGTCGCACTGACCATCAGTGCACCACCAGCTTCCGTTGTCCTCCCCACCCCCCCCTTACCTCCCTCCTACTTCCGCTCCTTAGGCGAAATGAATGGAAGGTAAGTTCCACGGAACGTTAACGTTTTATTCAGGTTGATTACGGTTTTTGGCTATCTTCTAGGAATATAAAACGGTTTAATACAATTCTGGCTGAGATGTGTTTAGCCCCGTCCACAGATCCAACCAGAAGTCACGTTGGGCTGTGTAGAGACTCTCTTCCTCTCTCAGAGTGCCACAAGACCCTAGGCGTTCCTCCAAACATGCGATAGCTCAGGCCTACCCCATAATCTAGAACCTGGTAACCTATTGGTCAGCGTGACGTACTCGTCCAGCGAAGAAGGCGTTTCCACCTTATCTTCAACCTCTCAACCTTTCACCGCCGAATTGAACCCAGGCTAGCCGCTGCGCCCATCCTCGTATCCATCCAGGGATCCATGGCTTCTCTTCGGCTAACGACAGCCGTCCAGCTACTGCTATGTGAGTTGACACGGCCGCGTGTATGCTAGCAGTATTTCGAACCTAAACTGCTGCTTCGGGCGTCACAGATTTGAGCGCGGGTGCGGAAACATGCGGTTCCGGTTAGAAACTCACGCCTTCACGGTTTTGCTGGTTAACTTTCGCGTTCCCCGTCGTACACCGTCTAGTTGATGGGTCGTGATTACGAGTAGCCGTTAGAGCAACGTAGGCCGATAGTCGTCCGGCAGATGCAGTTTCTGAACAGCGAGACTTTATTGGTATTGTATGTTGTTATTGCGGCGCTACTAGTGGTTGCTTCCTAAGAAGGCTCTCGTAGTTATTCGTCTAAACGCCTCAGCGCTTCGCCTTCGAGTTTCGGTTGTTTGCTCCTTTCGGAATTGCTCCGTTGTGATGCACCTTTAGTGGCCGGTCGCTGAATCACGACTGGGTGGCTGCTGTTAAGTCACGACTAGGTGTATGCCAGGCCACCGTCGCCGTCATATGCCGTCGAGACAGGGTAGGCTTGCTTTGAAAACCCTATCCGAGATGAATTTCTATTCGACTCGCAAGTCACGTCGTATCCCGTAGAGACAGTGTAAGCTGACTTTGCGAATCTTACCAGAGTGACGGACTCGGTAGTGACGGGTGAAGCAGCGACGGTCGGGATACGAATGACCTGCCGCCGGCTTAATAACTCGCTCCTAACGAGCCGTGTCAGGGATGGGTTCCGACTGGCACGGATGTAGGCTTTAGGAACTTTCTCTCTCCGTCTTCCTGTCTTTGCTCAAGTCGCCCTGCGCAGTCGCCGCTACTCTTCCCGCTGATTTATTTGACAAGTTGTCACCCTTTCCACATGGTTTGTCTGTTTTCTATATTTCTCATTTCTCTCGCTCTCCCTTTTTCCCCGCGTACCTCCTCCGCAGTGGTCGCCATTTTCGCCTCGTTACCCACCGAGCCACGAGCAGTGACTCCCCGCCGCGAGCTTAAAATTTTGCAAGACCTCGTCGGTAAGAGCTGACTCGATACAGCGTGCAAGTGCATGGGTTCTTTGCACGCATGCGCTGCATCCGCATGCTCTGAACCTGCTTCCCCTCCGCTCTTTCCCGCGCCTGACTTTTCGCCGACCGAAAGTGTATGCGGTGGTGCGCACCTCCATCCGCACCTGGCCCCTTGCCTTCCGCAACTGGCCCCTTACCGTCCGCACCTGGTCCCTGGCCCTTTTTACTCAGTGCTGCACGCTGGTACACCCTTAACACAACTGGCACCAGTTTGACTAGAGCTCTTTCCTACCCTCTTTTCCTCCCCTCCCGTGTCCCCTCCCATTCACACGGCATTGCTCTCTCTCCTCCCTTTACCTCTCTCGCCTCCTCCTTCGCTTCTTTCCTCTCCTCGCTTTGGCAGGTCGGTACGAGCTCACTACAACCGGCACCAATGTCACCAGTTCTCTCTCCTACTCCCCTCCGCCTGTCATTCCCTCCCCTCCCACTCATCCGGCCTTCCTCTCTCTGCTTCCCTGACCTGCTCACCTCCTCGCTTTGGCAGGTCGGTACGCGCTCACTACAACCGGCACCAATGTCACCAGTCTAGTTCTGACGTTGAACATCTCGTGAGTCGTCTTCCTGCGTGTGGCTCTGGCTCGCTATGTCGTCATTTGTCGTTTTCCAAGCAGTTCTTCAGTTTCCCAACATCAAGTTAATTCTCTTCGTGTACATGGTTCTTGTTTGCTTTAACCTCATTTAACCTCATGCCTGTTCATGCCTCGTCATGCCTCGTCATGCCTCTTCATTCCTCTATTTCTCTTGATGTCTCGTCTCCTTTGACTGCCACTCCCTGCAAACTTCGTACACTCCAGAGTTCACCTTAACGCTCCTCTACCCTCCTTACCGCTCCTGTGCCCTCCTTACTGCTCCTGTGCCCTCCTTACCGCTCCTGTACCCTCCTTACCGCTCCTGTGTCCTCCTTACGGCTCCTGTGCCCTCCTTACCGCTCCTGTGCCCCTCCTTACCGCTCCTGTGCCCTTCTTACCGCCCCTGTGCCGTCCGTACTGCTCCTTTGCACATTCCTTCTCCTCACTCCTCAAGTCTGGTTTCCCCCTTGAAGGAACCCTGTGCAAGCCAAGACGGTGGAGTAACATTCAACATACCCTCACAGCCTTCCTCTTTTCTCCCTCCGTCCTCATCCCCTGCAGAAACCCCACACACTCCAGGGCGGTTTCAAATAATATAATTAGCATTCAAGCGACCGTTAGGTTGAACAAGAACACAACCTCACAACCTTCGTCTTTTTTCCCGCCGACCCCATACCCTGCAGAAATCCGTTGCGCTCCAAGAATGTCTCCGAGTATGTGATCAGCTTCGCGGCGACCCTCGAGATGGCCGATAACGCCCTGACAGTCACGGATCCGCCCACCTTCTTCATGGTCTTTTCCAACGGTCACCTCTACTACCTCAACGAAGGCACCAACTGGACGCTCAACCAGGAATACGAACAGAGGTGCACTCCCAATCCTGACTATGTTGCACCAACCGACACATCCGGATCGACTGACACATCTGGGTCGACTGACACATCTGGGTCGACCGACACATCTGGATCGACCGACGGCACGGCGGTTCCGGCTGAGATTTGCGTGGATGTCCTGGTGAAAACCACGCATATCCTCGAGCCGTCGGTTTTCACGGGCCGCCGGAGCTACTTCAGCAAGAAAGACTACATGCTTACGGATTGGAACATGCTGGGCTGCCCGGATATGTACTTCCGGTTTGGGATTCCAGTGCGGGCGCGGGTCTCGGGGCTGCTTGGGAAGATCGCCTAGGGTTTCGCACTGAGGGTGACGAAGGCTTTATTCTACATACAGGGCTCCAATTCGGGTTTGGGTTGGGAGTTCTAAAGGGCCTTGCATTTACACTGCTCTGCTGTCACCCTGGGTGGTTTTGAATGGTTGCATATCTCGAATTCATTTCATTTTGTACTGTAGATGCTCCTCTGCTCTCCTTGGAATAGTTGTGTATGTATTGTAAGTTGGGTGGTTGTCTGCTGCTGGTGTAGCGTACTTCCTTGGTTCTGATTCAGTGGCTCATCTTTACAAGTTTGCCCTGTTGAAAGGGTTTGTACGCGTGTAAACAATTAATACCGGGTATTATGTCCCATCCAGTATTGAACTCAGACCACAATAAATTCCACGTGGGAGAGCTGGCCTCTCGATATCAGGGTGATTCACCCTTATGACCCTTACTATAAGGGCGGGTTTTACGATGCACCCTTTTTTACAAGACTGGTTTTGTTTTCGACCCTTACCAAAAAAAGTGATCGATTGTATGACACTGATATTTCAGAGCTATGTGGTGTAGTAGCACTGATGAAATCGAGTTCGATCTAAGAGAGGATACCAGGATTGGTCGCGTAAAACACATTTCCTACGGCGGATGACCCCGACAGGTATCGAACTTGGGTCCTCCACATAACAACGATGACTCAGCACACTGCAACACTAACACCCTACATAGTAGGCTCAGCAAAACTATCCGACAGTTTCTTTAATTTGTTTGCACCCTGATTTTTAAGAGCAGTTCCTGTGAAGCACCCTTACTGAAAGAGTAACAGCTGGGTGTTGGCCTTACGAGGAAGAGTACCCCAAATCCTATCCAGAGGCCTGTGGGAGAGGCATTGACAGAACCATAATTGTGTGGAAACACGGGCAATGCTCTTCATTTGTTATGCATTTGTTACACATCCACCATAACCAAACTGACCCAATGGAGCTCACGCTATCGCTCCTTGCCATACGGTAGGCACAGTGCAAACTGTTACATGAGGTGGCATGGTTGGTCAGGCTGGACCCAGCACGACACACTTTTGGGGAGAAGCTCGGCTCCAGAGCTGCATGTGAACACATGGGAAGGAGGGGCGGGGCAGTGAGGGCGGAGTTGAAGCTGGGGGCTACTAGGTACACTGGCAGAGTTAAACTGGGGGCATTTAGAGGAATCGTCTGCAGGGAGGATGTGGCATGCATACAAGGCACATGTATACCTTACCGTATCACATGAGCTCACTACGTTGTCGTTGGAACAGGAACATGCTACCCTCATCCCCAAACCCTTCCTCCCTATTTCCACTACCCACCCAGCCCCATAACTCCAACACCCACCTCCCTACTATGTCCACCACCCACCAGTTACATCGTATTTCTAAGTCACCTCCCTAGACCCCCAAGCCACCCTATGAATCCAAGCCACCTCCTTTCCTGCACGCCTCACCCTCATATGATATGAGTCATATCCCCTGTCTCGCTGACAACCTCTGGACAGAAACAGAATGCCAGTAGCTCACCTGCTGTAACAGATAGTGTGACCCTGCTTTTCCCTGCACATTATAAGCGTATCCCTGTTGAGAGAGAACCACATCCTTGCCCTTCTGTCCGTACAGCCGCGCGCACTTGTCCGCAATCTCCTCCAAGGTGCTTATATCGAACCAGCCATTGTCTATAAGCGGGTTGGTGGCCGTCTCAGCCATCTCATGCGCTAGAGTGTTTATCAGCCCATCCACACCCGGATGACTGTTCGGAGATGTGCTGCAGTAAGATTGGAAGGAGGGACAGATAATAGAAGAAACCAGATATGCATAGGGATCATTTGAAGCTACAAGGGGGTTGGTGGCCGGGACAGAAATTAGAAGAAGCCAGATATGCATAGGGAACATTTGAAGCTACAAGGGGGTTGGTGGCCGTCTCAGCCATCTCACGGCCTAAAGTTTTTACACTCCATCCACACCTGGATGGCTGTTCAGATATGTGCTGGGTTGAATGGGAAGAAAGAACGGAAAAGAGGAGGAACGGAGTACTCACAATCACAAACACAATCACAGTTGCAATCACAACCACAGTGGCAATTGGAAATGATGACATTATAAAAGCATCCAGCTGGTGGTAACCACCAGACATGAACAAACCATCTAACGCATGTGACACCGTGTCACCATAACGTGGTTTGGGGGGAGGTGGGGGGATGAGGGGGGAGAGGAGGAGGGGGAATAGGGAGGGGGAGAGAGGGGTGGGAATGCGAGAAGGAGGGGTGGGGGGAGGGGGGGATGGAGGGGGTGGTGGCGACGGGGGGAGGGGGTGGGGACTGGGTGGGAAGGGAAGGTGGTGGTCGGGCTGACCTACTACGTGGAGAATCAGTGCCCTTTCTTCGTAAGCCTCGACACGACACAAATTCCCTGCTGTGAGCTGCAAAACCCAACCCCTACACAGATTTATTCCTCTTACCGTGTGTTGTAGGAAGGCACGCAATATTGAGGACATTGCTGTCCCCCGTTTCCCACGTGAATCACTTTCAGCTCGCTCCGCCCGTTCGACGCGGTCGAGTGCCACCCGCAGTACCCCTGCGGCCCGCAGAAGCCTTGGGAACTGTCGCCCAATCGCACGTCCGGACTCGTTAGGACGGCGTAAATCGCAGAAGCATCGATGGGGAAGTTACCCGAATCAATCTGCTTGCGAATAACTGCGAGGAACAGAGCAGGAGAAGGACGAACCGATATACGGTATATGGTCAACGTTTGATGCCGTCGCATTAAAGCTCAGAATTGAGATATTGATGGAAGTGCATTATATCATACGAAATCCCGTATAACCAAAATTACCAAAGCTTTGGTTCATGCACTTCCATCAATACCGAAAACTGTCCTGCGTACCTTGCCACACGCCGTTCATGTCGTCGCGTATCATCTTTCCCTGCGAATATCGGTCCACTGCGGATTTCGCAAGCTGCACTTGCGACGTTACTGCGGCGGGGCCTTTGGCAGTGTACAAGCTGGTGGTTCGCCACCACCTTCGCACGGTCGCGACACTGTTACCCGAGCTGTCCGAAATCGATTGCACGAATGTGTTAACAGCTCGGCGGTCCTCCCGACTCCACGATCCGTAGAACACGACGTACACGTTAATAGGCGAGCTCATTACAGGCCCTCCGTGGTAGCTCATTCCGGGACTTCCAGAGTTTATATTAGGCCTCGTAATATGTCCTGCTCCGTTTCCCATCAACGGAGTCCGGTGCTGCCGTTCCCCCCACCGCTGCCGCCGGCGCGTCAACTCTGCGGCGCGACTAACCGTAGATGACGTCAGCGTGTCGTTGCCAATCGCGTTCCGTGAGAAGTGCGAATCGCGGAAGCTTCCGGTAGTTGGATACACGCGCAAGAATCCGGTTGGCTGAAATTCGGATGTTCCATAACTACTTGTCGTGGGCCGTGGCCCACCCTGGGTAGCTGCAGTTGCGGAGAGAACCCTCGCGGCGGAAACCGTGGCGGGAATCGCGGCGGATAGGAGTAGGACGGATAGGACGAGGAGATATCGGGAGGTAAGGCGTTTGTTACAACACTCTGTAGGAGTAAAATCGGCGAGAAGAAACATGTAGCTCATGTTGTGCGGAAAGATAGGTGGCGGCAGAGGGCTCTTTTAGGCTATGACGCGAGACGATTGTTCACCCTGATGAATGATATTCACTGAATCTGGACGCCGCCGCAGCTGGCACAGCGGCTGAGGACGACCTGCTACTAGTGATGCAAGCGAAAGGCGCCGATGCCCTGAATTCACCAGTGAGGCCTCATCCACGTTATAATCGTCGGATCTAGCGGTTCACCGGGGGCGAATGCTGCTCACTGCGAGGGGATTTTGTTGTAGCACGTCGATGAGGAAAACGGCAAGCACGCAAATTCGGAAGGGCAGAACAAGGAGCAGAAGTAGTGAAAGGCGAGGAAAGCGAATGAGAGTAGGAGGAGCAATAGTAGGCGCAGGATGAAACAACGACGATAGCTGAATGTATAGTATCAGAGAGATGGTCAAGATGTCGATTCAGACATGATTGTGTGGATCGGGTGAGTGACGACGAGGCGCACATAGCTTGCTGGTCTTGTTATCTGTATTTCTGGCGGTCTGCTGCTCTAGTGTCGTCTCGTACGGACAGCGGACAATTGTTCTTTTCGATGCGATACGGGGTTGTATGGCAACGTGTGCATTCTTTCCCACACACTTCGCTGCCCCTTCAGTGGATTCCCGGAGGTGCAGTGGCGGTGCGTTAGGGCGGGTCTGGGCTGGAATATTGCTGTTCTTATGTTGCGGTTCAGTACGCTTCTGTGCGTTCGAAAACGTTATATTTGTTTCACTTATTTTGAACCGCTATTCACCGCTTTGAACACCGCTATATGAACTGTAAACACAGAAAATTTAGACCCACGGATTGCAAGTGCGATCGAGGCGAGGATGTTGTTGAGGCTGGAAATGGAAGACATGCTGGTTGGTGGGGTATTTGGGGGGCGGGCAGCACAGAAATGTCGTTTGACGGGCCGAAAATAACTGGCTGCTCAGCTGCAAAAGAACAGATTTGCTGCTTCGCGCAATGCGGCTCGGGGCGCTGAGGTGGCGGTCATGCTAAAAATGAACGTATGAGATCGAAGGGGAAAGGGGCGAACATAAGTCCTTGCTTGCCGATGTGGCAAGAGACGTAAGGTGGCAGGGGCACTGGGCGGGCGCTTACGCTACCAACCACGACACATGTGTTCTTCAGGTTTTGGGAAAATACGGCGAGCCATGAGAGTGCGCTTCGGGATCCGTCAAGAGTAGGCAACTCACGGATCTCCGTGCATTCAACCTGGTACGAAGATCGTACGTTCGATATCTGCACCCCACCACGAAGGATTTCTGCTGCAAATTTGCATCTAGTATTTGCTTGTGAGCAGGTTACCATGGCGTAACAACTGTCATTTTCCTTCTGTAAAGATATTTTGTTTTCTTTGTGGCAGCGTTGCGCTGCATATAGTCATACGCGGGCTCAGCCCACATTCCTGGTTATCTCGTGTTGCCTCCAGGGCTAATTTTTGGTTTTGAACAACCCTTATGATCAGTGTTGCACCTGTGCATATTCCTGATTATCAGTGTGACCCCTTCCCAAAACTCTTTTACATCAGGGTACAGGGCAGGTTTGAAAATTTTACCCTGAGGCATCAGTGTAAGATTTTTTGAAACCCTGCTCAATTGTTGTTACAGTGAAAGCACACAATAAACTTGTTAGTCATCATTAGACAAGGCACAAGGGTGTTCCTCATGGTCACTATCGTCTTGTGGCTCGGGCACCTTCTTTTTCCCACTCCTTTCCAAGGGCACAGCAGGCGCCGACCGTCTGCTGCACTAAGCCAGGTTTCCAGCATATTCGGTCGTGTTGGCATGTCAGACAACGAGACCGAGTTGAGTCCTTGACGTTGTGTCGAACGAAACTGTAATTCTGGCCAATGACGGCCCGCTTCGTGCCAACACTTGTCGTGGCGCAAATTCTGGTTTTGACAGTTGGGCCAACGGGAATCCCGGGTTAAGGGAAAAGAGGGGGGTGTGGGGGGGGGAAGGTTCTCTTGTACTCGCTTCAGGGTAAAACTGGCTAAGAAGAACGGTAACCCTCTGGGGCATCAGTGTGCCTTAAACGTAAACCCTGGCACATCAGGAAAATCCATGCTCCAGAAAAAATTACCCTGAGGCATCAGTGTGACTACCAAAAATCACTTTGATAATCAATGCATCAGGTTGATTTACACTGATAAAATGCTTTGCCCAGCCTGTAACCATCATTTTTCCCTTGTGGTTCACCATGGTCATGCTAAAAAAACACGACAACAACATGCGCATTACCCTGAACAATGTCACATCATCTAACATGTCCTTTTTTAAATACTGCCAGCATTTCAACTCATGGACTGGAGGGTCAAACTTTCCACCGACCTGAGAATGCACGACATACTTCTTCACTACGCACCCCCGACAAGCCGTGCAATTACCTAGATCAGCACGCTCCAACACCGGTGTATATTTGTTTGGCTTCAACTTCCCGGACTGCAGCAACCACAGCGACGCAAATGAGTCGATCAATCTTGTTGTCAAACTTTATTTGTGCTAGTTATGTGTAGGCTATTGTGGGGTAGCCCATATAGGGTACAACCCAATATTAGGGTTAGTACTTGTACCCACAATTCACTCAATACAACCATTCCTGCTTGCTATCTTGACATGGTATCAGAGCAGTAGGTCCCACTTCGTTTTGAGATCATCTCAGCCTGAATGGAAGCATCTTGGTGGCAAACCTTGAGTACCCCCATAATCAGCACCTCTGCGGACCTTCACAACGACGGACTCAATAACATCTGCAGATATTGTCGCACCCCACCACCCCAGGCACCAATGCCAGGAAAATTTATGAGAAAGCACGCCTCCTCGACGTGGGACTCTAAACCACACTCTAAGCTGAAGAGCTTCGGCGGCAAAGCACAATTCCAGGTTGCAGGACTATAACATTCGGCGTTTAGAAAATCGGCAGAGGATGAGGTTTAACGAAGGTAGATGGGTAGGCACTCAAGACAAGGCATAAGGCACTGGCGATACTTGTGGAGACATAGAAGGTGGATGGGGCACTTCTGATGGTGGATGGGGAGACCTAGGCGGAGGCTGCGGCACCTCAGACAGCCAAGAAGAAAAATGGGGCAATGGAAGAAGACTCCACAACTCGGTTGTCCTCTGCGCCGACCATCACCACCACCCATGGCTAAAGAAGACAGGTTGCATCGCGACCCATGGGATTGTCAACCCCTCGTCGCACAACCTACGACCCCGATCCTGGGCCATGTGAACCCGATCTTATCCTAGGCATCATTAAAGGGGCCACCATCCCACTCTCCATCATCCCCGATCACATCTTCCTCGCCCTCATGCTGTCCATTGCAACGTAAGAAATATAAGAACCGGAAGAAGCAAACGCAGAGACCATCCTTGAAGAAACCCTCACTGGATCATACGTGAGATACCTCCGAACCACAAGAGTGCGCGTAACAGACGATTGGCACCAATGCCTCGGACATTCCTCGCGAAAAAACCTTAACAACTAAAACACCGCTGAAGAATTCATACAAGGAGCAATTCTGTGCCTTAACGCAACACCTCACAACCTCACGGCTACGACGTCGCCCTCGCAGCAGCACTCACCCCATCAGCCATTCCCCTTGCTGGAACCGGGTACCATTTTAGTACCAAAAACTACACAACGTATAGAACTGACTCAACGACAAAAACTGCACGCTAATACTCGTAGACGCAAGCATGCGCTAAGTCCAATTCTAAAGCAGGGGACACAAGGTAATTTGCCTATGACTAGCTCATGCGCAAAGACTGACGAGGAAGATGCTGCAAATTTGGTAGACTGATGTCGCAGCTGAGTTCTGCAGCAAGAAGCTCCAGGACTTTTTCGGTCACTCTTGATCCGGACAATACAACTCGCGACGCTTACAACTACACCAGCGAGGCACGCCGATCCCCGGATGCAGAGTTACTACAGCCCAATACCTCGCAGGACACCCTCCATCTCGGCAACGAAAGTGACGACCTCGTCGTCGAGGTTACAAGCTTCCACGACTACGATCGCCTCCACTACGAAAAGACCAACGAAACCGGCCTTCGCGTCCTCAGGGCTCG